ATAGGAGGCCAGTGCAACGGTCCCTGGTGACTGGGTCAAAATTTAAAAGAGAACGTATCTCGAGAAGGAAAGGGTGATGAGAAGTAACACATGTGAGAGAGAAAATAAGAAAGCATATGCCTGAGGACAGGCCATTGCATTTCTGAAGAAGAAAAATAGGAGTTTTGAGTTTGCCTTCTGAGTTGAAAGAGAAGAGCCCAGTTCATTCATGCTGCATCTTAAAATCTGGCCGTGTAAGGTGTGTACATGAATAATATAGCCCTCCCAACCCTAGCCATTTCACCCATGGAAATGGTGGGTCCCAGGAAACCCCCCAATCTCCATCAAAGCAAAACATGGGAGAAATAAGACCCCTGATGCTAAAACTCACAGAGGCTTTTCTTGCAGTGATAAGCAAGGAAGTCCTAGAGAGCCACAGACATTTGTGGAGATGTGAGAATCTGGGGTGTCAGTACTGGGGGGATGTAAACCCCCATGCCACGTGATACTCTCCTTTGTAGGCTTCCGTGTGAGGACACATGTTTGCTCATTGAGCTCACACATTTGCGAGTAGGTAGCAAGTGTGTCTATTTGCCTCTTCGGTGAATGGCCTGGGACAGCTTTGAGTAAACTGGCTTTTGGAAAATTGGCCTGGTTCTATTTGTATCTGCCAGCAGGTACAGGAATGGGGTTGTTCAGCTTAAGGGTTTCCTCTTCTGTAAAGCTTCCCCTGAACACCGGTCCCCATACTGCCCCATCCCCAGTTGCCACAGTAGAAGCAGCACCTCCTCTCTCATTGGGGTCTCTGACAGCCCCTTGTCTGCTTCCTTTGCTAGCCTGTGAGCCCCTGAGGTCAGGGACTGTTTCTGATGCTTCTTTGTCTCCCCAATGCCTGGTACAGAGTAGGTATGCAATGGATCTTGTGTAAGGAAGGACAGAGGCAGAGGGAAGGAGGGAAAGAGGGAAGGAAGAGGGAAGGGAGTATGATTTCCTATCCAAAATCCCACCAAGCGTGTCTCCTTCCTCTCAGCCTACGCGCAGCTCTGGCTGTTCTCACTTGGAGGCACTGCCGCTTCCCAGGGATGTGCCGTAGATCAGAATAGCCTGATCAGGGCTACCCCAGCTGTTCCTTGGCTCTCTGGTTACATTCTAGTCCCTTCCCACCCCAGCCTCCCCTCAAGTCTTCCCATGACCTGAAATTCATGGAGTGTATTTTCTTTCTCCAGATGAAGGAATGTCATCTGCTGCCATCCAGGTAATAAGAACAGCTCTTAGGATTTTTCTGAGATGATGGTAGAAATGCAGACACCCCAGAAGGCTGGAGAAGATGGCCTCCAAGACCCCTTCTGATCCTAACGTGGAAGAGGACCTTAGGTGCCAGTGCTTGTGAACCGGGGGGCTTATGCAGGGCCTGGTAGCAGAAGCAGCAGCCACCTCTGTTGCACAACTTGTCGAAAGGAGCTACCATTTACTGACCACTTGTTTATGACAAGCAACGTGCTGAGAGCGTTACCTCATCATCTCATGGAACTTTCACAACAATCCTTTAAGACTTGCTATTATTTCCTCCCCATTTTAAAGATGAAAAATTGAGAGAGTAAGTGATATTTCCCCAAGTCCAGACAGCTGACAAGATGATAGAGCCAGGATTCAAAACCAAGTCTCGCTCCAAAATCCATACTCTTCTTTCTGTGCTTTGCTGCTTTGCTTTTTACCTCCTGAGATTCCACCATGAGTGAAACCTTCCCTTGAGTTGTTTCCCTTTACAACAATGCCAATATCTCTAGAATGGGTGGTTAAATATATAACCCAGTCACATTAAGGGTCATCAGATTGCTCTCTTTTATCATAGGCTGCCCTCAGAGCCCTGAGACTTTAGACACCATAGAGGGTGGTCAGGAGTCACTCTGGAACAAGGGGTAGAGAGGATATGCTTGGGCAGGCTGTATTCTCTGGTCAACATGAGCACTCTGGCTGCCTGGCCTTGTGGATGGGTTCGGACAGCCATTTAGGAAAAATGGCCACGAGATGGAGAGGAGAGGGTTGTGGAAGACATATTTCACCCAGGGTCAGGTCTGTGTTGAGACTGAAGTGTAAAGGGAATGGCAGAGGACAGATCTTGATGATGGCTCTCCTTTGACCAGCAGGATAACGCTGATCAGACCTACATGGAGGAGCTGTGCTACGCCCTCATCACTCACAGGGTCCTCAGGAGAAGGCCGTCAGGGAACTCTGCTGAGGAGTACTACGAGAATGTTTCCTGCAGGGTGGAGAGGCCCGGAGAGGCCTTGGGAGGAACTGAGACTGAGTATTCACTTCTCTGTATGCCTTCCACCTCTAGGCATCCACCTTCCCCAGAAAACGAATATGAACTGTGTATGCCTAGCAGAATCTCCTCTCACCCCCGGCAACAGCCACGTCCATGTTTGGCCCCTTCTGAGACTCAGTTTTCCCATTTGTAATGAAGTGGTTGAAATAGCATTTGTTTAGCAACAGTGAATAAAAGTTGGGGGTGGGAGTGGGAGTGGGGGGTTCTGGTTGGAGCAGACATGGAGCACCAAGTCCCTCCAGCTCACCTCCCATGACAACCCTTCCTCTGCAGGGCATGGTTTGCAAACCACAGGACATCTTTGATCCCGCTCAATATGTAATATCTGAAGATCAACCAGTTATCCTGAATAGCACTATTTGAGAAAGGAGCGACCATCTTTGGTTCAAAGTGGTTTGGGTAGTACTCAGTGGTGGAAGGGTCTCCCTGGTCCCCTACAGCTGTGCACACCACAAAAGGCTCTGCTCTTCTGTCCAGGTTATTCTTATAAAATGTTGCCGTGATTGTTCTCTGACACCACAAGGAAGCTTTACTCATCACATTAAGTGTACGGTTCACTCATTACAGTGACCTTCAAGCTCAGTGACCCCCTGATAGGGGCTGTGGTGTTCCTCTCACTCTGTGCATCTAAGCCATGTCCTTTACATAGTGTCCTTTGACTTGCTGGCACCTGTGGATTAGTTGGTTATGTGACTTGAATCAAGAGGTTCCAGGCCAGATTTTTATATAATTTTAACCCATATGGTTTTGTTCTTAACTTTGTATTTCTCCCTAGAAATCTTAATAAGACAATCAAAAGCATGAGAGAATGATAGAGTAGAAAGACCTTTGGAGATCCTTTAATCCCACTATCTGTTTTTGGCTCAGAGAGGATAATTTGCCCACTGATTCATTAAAGTTAGTGGCAAAAAATTTACTTATCTAGTGCCTGATTTTCTGGCTTCCAATTTAGTGCTCTTCCAATATACTACATAGAAGACCCTCTACTATATAGCAAATGTGTATATTTAGTGTCATGTAAAACATGAATAAAATGTTCACATGGGAAAAATAACATATACACACTTTCTCTAATTAGCACTCCTCCGTATGCCCTGATTATTTTATTTTCCCTCATCTTTTTTTTAGTGTTCCTGGAATCATGTCTATCCCTTAAAGCAGGGGTCAGTAAACTCTGGCCCACAGCCAACTCTGGCCCACCACCTGTTTTTGTAAATATAGTTTTATTGGAACACAGCCACACTCATTTGTTTACATACCATCTATGGTTGCTCAACCATGGGAGAGTTAATTGTGACATAGACCATAGGCCCTACAAAGCGCCACATATTTACATTTTGCCCCTTTCCAGAAAAAAAAGATTGCAGACTCCAGCCCTAAACGATCACAGTCTGAGATGAACTTGACAGAAATGTGTTTGGTTACTGGTATAACTCATAAGAGCAGGTACCAATAAAATGATATGAAAATATTAAACCACAAATTGGATGAGTGAGAACAAAAACAATTAGCAAATTTGACTATTTTTTTTATTCACACCTGTGTTTGCAAATTGCTGTTTTATTTAACTCATGGCCACTATCCTAATTTTAGAAATGTTAAAACGGTAAGAGGTCCGTTGAGACAAGCAGTAGATACAATATGTGTCTACTGTTTTGTTTTCAAAGCTAACTAAAGCTAAATAACTTTGCTATTTAAAATGTGCTAAGTGCTCAGTGAAGATAAATCCAGTGGCATGAGCTTGGATGTGTCAACGCAAGTTTCCTGAGACTTCAGCCAGTCGATGGTCTTCAGCTAAAGAGCCAATCACATCTTGGTATCTTGTCCTCTGCTAACTTCCTACTTTTAGTGAAATTCTTTCACATGGAACCCTAACTTTGATCTCAGGCCAGGATTCACTTAGGTTCAAAAAGAGGTATTTGTGGTAGCAAGGAATACTGTACTGGAACATGTCTTAGGGGAGAGAGTGTGGACTCCAGAGACAGATAATCAGTGATTCAAATCCTGGTTCTATCTTTTC